ACACACACACACACACACACACACACACACACACACACACACACACACACACACACACACACGCTGACAACTCTATCCTCATCTTGTCTTTTTATCGCTTTAAACGAATCACTCACATGGGACTCGAATCTGATCAAGCATTCACTTCAGGCTAAGCTGGCCGCTAAACATCTGGGAGGAAACGTGGGGAGTTCTGTGGTTTTAAGCAACACTTAAAGGCTTAACTAATCAAACTCTTTATCAAGTTAAATGAAACTCGTCGTGTCAATGAGGTACGTTTGCATGGAAACTACAAACCAGGCTTTTCTGCAGGCATCCTCTCTGACCTCAGGCTAAATAAAGAAAAAGCCAAGGGATGTAAATGTTGATTTAGCTTACCTCAAAAACAATACAAAGTTGTGCTTAAATGTGATATTTATCTCTCCATTTTTTTCTTGAATATTTGCATTAATTCCCTGATTGCACTAAGTGATTTATCACGAGTTTTCCTGATGGTTTTTCATGCACGGCCCACATTATCAGACACCCAGAATAGAAATTAAAAGCACAACACTGGCGTGTGTGGAATCCACTTTAATGTGGAGAAAGAGCTCCGTTCAAGGCTGTTGGATTTGTTGTGAAAGTTAAGTGATAATCAGAGCTGTCATTGATCGCCGTCAGTGTGTGGCAGACTAAGAGGAGTGTGTGTTCAAAGCATACAGAAATAAAAGTAAGACTCTTTCCAGTGAGGATAAAATGTAGTAAATTTGTTTTCATTTATTAAAAGCACTGACAATCAGAATACTGTGTCACGTGTTTACTCTGCTCACTTGGTTTCCAAAGAACAAGTTTCCAGTCGAAGCTGGAATTCTTTTCTCTCTCTCGAGATGAGACTCTTGTTTAAACAGCTTTGTTGCCGCTGGGAACAAAGCATCTTTGCTCACAGACACAGAACTAACGAGATGTAGGAGTGGGACTGTGGGAAGGTCGAGGGGTTCCCCCGTCCGGCGTCCACGCTTTGACATCACGGTTCAGGGTGGTCCTGATGGAAACGTGTGAACATGGAAGTCAAAACGCTGCGAGTCCTCTGAGGCCTCAGGGTAGATATGACACAAGAGTTGAAGCCCACCCACCTCCCCATCCCCCTCCTCCCACTATTTCTTCTGCCTCAGTGTTTCTCTCTGTGCCACTTTTGTCTCTCACTTTAAATTACCATTAGCTGGACTCAAGAACATCCCTGCTTCGGTTGTCAGATGTGGGACACGGAGACCACCCGAGCTTTGCTTCCTCCTGTTCTTGTGAATTGTATGGGGACAAATTATTTTAAATAACCCCCTTATTTAATTATTCTTCTTCCATTTTTATCATGGCTTTTGATTTGCTATGCCTTTAGAAAAAATATATATTAAAAAAAAACCCTAAAAGATGCAGCTTGATAGAGAATACTGGACTGATTTTTTTGGTAGTAGGGATTTAGTATATTTCACAGTGAAAAACATCCTCATAAAAAATGTAAAAATATTTAAACAGAAAGTTGTATTTTACATGACAGAACTGGCATTTTGATATATTTTTTTTCACAATAGCAGTTGACAGTTTATATGTCAACTGCTATCGAAACATGTTTTAAACAGATGCTTGATGTTATTTTCAAATGTAAGATGAGAGTCCATTCTCACTCCAAGATTAGTAACAGAGGTGGAGAGGGGGATGTCTTGACCAGAAAAAGAAATAGCCGTTATACTGTAGTTGAAGTTTGAACCTGATGAGGGGTGCCGATCAGTATGGCCTCGGTTTTGGAGCAGTTTAATTGAAGAAAGTTCTGGCTCATCCATGCCCTTATCGCCTCCAGGCAGGTAGTGAGGGCATTGAGAGAAGATGGAGATGACAGTGGGGATGATGATGCTCCAGTTCTGATGTACAGCTGTGTATCATCAGCATAACAGTGAAAAGAAATGTTGTGATGATTAATGAATTGACCTAAAGGAAGCATGTAAAGGGAAAATAGCAGGGCCCCAAGAACTGACCCTTGAGGGACACCACAGGTGACACAGACAATCTGGGACTTGGTATTGCCAAGTCTAACATATTCCAGCCTATTGGAGAGGAACGATTTAAACCAGTCCAGGACAGTGTCACAGAGACCAACCTCCACTTGAAGACGGTGGAGGAGGATACTGTGATCCAGTGTCAAAAGCTGCAGTGAGGTCCAGAAGGAGAAGCAGGGAGGGAGAACCTCCCTTTAATTCCACACACTTTGGACGATTTAGTTCCTTTTTTTACACCAAGACTTTGGCCTTTTTTGTCTTCTTTCGTCCAGTGTCTCTCAGTGGAACAGGAAGTGTTTTATTCTTAAATCTTCTCAGAGTCCAGCGAGCACACATCCAAACTCCCATTGACTTCCATTGTGATTTGAATTTTCTCTTCAAACGGAAGTAAAGGTTTTTTTTATAGTGACATGTTTTATGACCAGACCCTTCTGCCACTTGTAGGTCAGGAAATGGTCAAAGCAACTTTTCTATGTTTACACAGAAACTGGATTCTAAAATTGGATTCTACTGTACGTTTCTGTCTAAGCTTTCTTGCAGGGAGTGAGACACAATGTTGCTAAGGCTGCAGCTTTCGTATAACTCATACAGCACAATACACGCATTTTATTTTAGTCCCAAGTTAACAATAGGCTTTATGGAGTTTATTTTTATTTTTTCTTTAAAAGTTTTCTCATTTTCTCTTTCTGAGCCATCCTTAAAACACTTTGCTGTTGCATTTTGGTTCTTTATTGTCGATGAAACACCTGCAGGTTGAGATTTGCACTGCTGTATTTCTGAGTTGTGAGTCAGTGCAGATGTAGATGTGGAGGTTTCACATGGAGGCCTGGGGTCTGACATGTGAGTCGGCGGTCTTGCAGAACACGACATATAAATGGTCAAACCAACAGAAACAAAAATTCTGAATCTCCTCTTGTGCTCCCGTCACGTTTGCTTGTGGTTAATAACTTCTTGATGCAAACAGACAAAAACAAGCAGAGCTGATGAGGAGGGCTGAGGATTTAATTTCCCCTTGCAGATGTTTGGGGGGTTATTTACAGATCTTTGGATCAAAGGAAGCAGGGAAATCTGCTGAATGACAAATGAATCGCAGCATTTGGTGTCCTCAAGTGATGACAGCTCAGGTTAGGACTCTTCTTTTATGAGAAAAGAGTTCAAACCCAATCTGGACCTGAGCACTTCAGCTTCATTATTCAACCAGAACTTTTCCAGCTTATTATCCTAAAGAGCTCCAAAGCCAAGCTCCTCTTTCAAGTCAGCCGTGACTTCTTGGGAGACTGGGAACATCTGTGGATGAACATTTGGCACAGATGGCAACTAAAGCTCTTCAAGTCCACAATAGCTCCTTTCGTCTCTGAGCAGACACAGTTCTGAGCTTATAACTTTAACTTGTTTTACTATTTTTTCCTATAGCTACGAAATTGTGACCCTCAGAGTGACAGGTTAAATTATTTGTGTGTAATTACCGGATCTCCCCAGTTTCTCAGCCTCCAGTGAGGCAGCCCTGAGTTAACAATGAACCCTGCAGCACACAATGGCTTTTAAACAGCTGGACTATAGTCTGAAGGGACAAGTCGCCCCTCAATTGTTATTTTTTTGGAGTGGGGATACGTCGATTAAAAGAACTAGATTTCCATAAAAGCCACAGCTGCTGATGCAAAACTCGAGGCTCAGCAGGTGTTTATTTAAGGCATTGCATTTTGTGTTGACAGGGCAGTGCAACACCTTCATTCCTGCACAGTTAAAAACCCACCTTTCATCCAGTCAACCACTTGACCCGGGCTCCACTTGCTCACAGGCTCCATAATCAGTGCCATGGTGGGAGAAGTTTGTTTTGACAAAAGAAAAACAAACAAACAACCAAAAAAAAGAAACACACCCAAAAACTCCTCACTCAAACTGAGGCGGCGGTAAATTAAACCACTTCAAAGGAATCTTCGTGCCTTTCTCTTTGATGTGAGCGCATTAAATTCTACTTAGGTAGGTTCAAGAGAAGAAAAAAGAAACAAATTGTCCAAAAAACATGTCGTTGAGCAAAGCTTGAAGCCCCTCAAATTCCGACACTGTCGAGTCCCTTTTCAGTGAGGTTCTTTTTTTCCCCCCTTTTTTTTCTTTTTGTTCACTTATCATTCATGTCAGGCTCAGTTCGTGGCGGTCGTTGATGCTGGTGGGGGTCCCTGCTGCCCCCACTCCCCTGTTCATCCAAAATGCATCCCAGAACCGTCCAGAGCAGCGAACAACGCGCAGACTGTTCACTTCATCCTGCTGTCTGGAGAGGCAGCAGTCTCTCTCTCTTTCTCTCTCTTTCTCTCAGCATCCTCCCTCTCCTCCTCTTCATCAGACATGGAGTCATACCCCGCCTCCCCTCCTCTACTCACCCCACCCCCACCCAAAGCCTTCACCAAGCAAAGCGTTCTTGTATGGTGGCTGATTAGTGCCACAGTCTTTTACTTGCCAGATATACTATAATTATCACATTTATACAATATTTTAGGGGCTATATGATGTCTGATAAATTGTTTAAAAATTATACAGTAGCATTTTTGTTCAACACAATTTTTGAGTTATTTTTATAGCCTGTATTTGTTTAAACCCTCTGCTCTTTGTGTTGTTGTTTAGTATTTTTAGATAAGATAAGATAAAGATAAGATAAGATGAGACTTTATTGATCCCACAGTGGGGAAATTTTCACATTACTGCAGCTCAATRCAGGAGAAGGTGAGAAGAATAAAGCAAGATAAATAAAAGAAAAACAATAAAAACACACTATACACGTGATAAATAATAATGTAAATTTACCAATGCACATATACACATATACACAAACACATATGCATTTACATTTATATACACATATACCGTATAGTACAGTAAATAAATGAACATTAATGAAGGTGCATATTAGTGATGGCAGTGTAGGTGAATTGTCCAAGTGACTGATAACATCATGATGTGTTATACAGTCTAAATTTTTGTTAGCTCTTTTGTTTATGGTAAAGTTTTAGGGGAATAATATAAAGCAACTCACTGACACAATGTACAATTTCTTATGTAATCATCCCCACTGACGCTGCAGCCAAAGATGTTCCTATTCCTAGTTACGTCACGTCTGGGTGTTTGTCAGCATTTTCACTTTGAGGATGTGCAATATCGAGTGTTGTGGACATTTAAAAAAAAGGCATAGGTTCTGCGAGCATCAGCGTAGGTTTTATGAGCAGCGGTTGTGCGTGTCTCACCGTGTGAGCTGACACACATGCAGGCAGCACGTACAGAGGGGTGGAGTCAGGGGAAGGAGAGGAGGGGGTTTTATGTGGGTGTGTGTGTATG